CCTTATAAACAGATGTAAAATCAAGCTGTGATTATGGATAAACACAAATCCATGCCACCTTTCTGGAGAAATAACTTGTTTACACACACACACACACACACTGATCTAGTGAAAAGAGAAAACACAAAAAGCACGTACAAGTTAAATTATGGTACTATTGCATGACACCTAGGCTTCCACGTCTGGAAAGATTCACAATGTCTTTTTTTTTTTTTTTCTTAAAAAAAGCTTTGAGTACATAACAATTTTGCTACCCAAAAGTAGAAAAAAGACTGAAAGGAAATACAAATGGGATTAAAAGATAGTAAGTGGGGGCCTGTGTTGAAGCACAGCAAGTCAAGCCGCTTGCTGCCAGAAATGCAGGCATCCCGTATTGTGTCGGCTGCTCTGCTTCCAATTCAGCTGCTGGGTAATGGCCTGGGAAAAGCAGCAGCAGATGGCCCAAGTGTTTAGGCCTGTGCCGCCACCTATGTGGGAGACCTGGATGGAGCTCCTGGCTTCAGCCTGGCCCAGTGCTGGCCACTGCAGCCAACTGGGGAGTGAACCAGCGGATGGAAGATCACTCTCTCGCTCTCCCCACCTGTAACTCTTTCAAATAAATACATAAACCTCTAAAACAAAAAACATAACAATTACTATCTAGGAGCCAGATTAAGCTGCTGCTTACAATGCCCACATCCCATATCAGAGCACAGGTTTCAGCTTCAGCTGCTCTGCTTAAGATTCAGCTCCTTGCTAATTCACCTGGGAAAGCAGCAGATGGCCCCAGTGCTAGGGCTCCTGCCACCAACATGAAGACTCCCCCGGCCCCAATGGAGTTCCAGGCTCCAGGCTTCAGCCTGGCCCAGCCCCGGCTACTGCAGCCATCTGGCGAGTGAACCAGTGGATGGAAATTCTCCATCTCTGTCATTCTGCCTTTCAAATAAATAAATACACGTATTTAAAAAGGTTAAGCATCTAATACTGTTTTAACACCCTGAGTTATTAAAATTCCTTAAAACAGCACACACTCTACTTCTACTTAAAGGAAAAACCCTCAGAATCTCATTTTTCAATAACGTGGACCAGTGGACACTACCTTCCTTCAGGGTGTGGAAAAGAACGGAGAGATGGCTGATCTGCCCTAATCCTGACAGCAGACTCACCCTTCAACTCTTTCCTCAGAATGGGCTACATCCCATGCCTTTTGCGGGGACAGGTGGATAAGGTTTAATCAAGGTTACTAGCCTACCTAGGCTGAAAACACCATGTTTTTAAATAAAAATCGCCTTTTACATAAAGGTGCATCTTCGAAACTTTCCTGTTATCATTTCAAGCTGCTTTCTAAGTGTCTGTAATTTTAAAAAACCAAAAATAATTAAACCTTGCCGAGCATACTACAATCCTGTCCACACGCTATCTTCCTTTAATTAATTTAAATGATTACACCATTTCCCATCCTTTTACCCCTTCTGAAAAAGTACTCTAAAATCAACATAGTTAAAAGTCACGGCTCAGCCTAAAAATATTACGCCCAGTTGCCACCCGGCCCAGCAACTCCACTCCCAGACACCCTCCAGAGAGACACTAACACACGGGGAGAGACACAGCACACCACCAAGGTTCAAAGGGTTCCTACGGCCTGCTGCTTTGGGCAGTTGTCTGGGGTCTTGGGGAACATCTCCCCCACTTGCAGAAGGGGTGAGTTATCCACATCAATACAAAAAAAATCCCCTTGTATATGAATGTTTACAGCAGCTCTATTCACAACAGCGAACAGGGAAAATAAGCCCAACGTCTACTACTGACGAAAGATAACTGAAATACATGGTACATCCAAATAATGAAGCATTATGCAGTCATAAAAAGGAATGGAGGGCTGATGGGTACTACACAGCATGAACCTCCTGAAAACATGCTGAGTGAAAGAAACCAGATGCAAAGAGTTACATATTGCATGCTTGCTTCCAGAAATATCTGCAACAGGCCAAGTTATAGAAACTGGAGAGTAGATCAGTGGTTAGGGGCCAGAGAGTGACTGCTAGTGGATAGTGTTTCTTGGGGGGGGGGGGGGGGGAGAGAAATGTCCAAAAATTGGCTGTGACTACCAGAAATTGGTAACTGCATTCTGAGCATTGTATCTCAAAGTTATCGCTACGGGAAAAAAAAAGATGTTTGCTATTATTTTCTGATGGCATTACGCTCAAATCATACATAGCCGATGTTCACAATAAAGACTAATACAAAGACTGCACATACCCAAATAAAGTCATCTCACAAACGTCCCCTATGCCTAACCAAAGCTCTGGCACTAACTGTGCAGGGACTGGCTGATCATACACACCTGAAGGCAGAACACTAAAAAATGCAGGCGAGGTTTAAAAAGCAAAAAAAAAAAAGAAAGAAAGAAAGAAAAGAAAGGGGGGGGGGTCATGTTTTTATTGACGCGAAAACTCACATTAAGAAAAGCTACTACCCACACTTGTTTACTGCCACTTCTCCCTCTTGAAGCACTCTCTGCAGGTCAGGCTTGAACCACAGCCCAAATCCACTCACCACATTTCAAACTGCTAAGTGGGAAAAGCACAGCAGTCGGCGCAAGGAAGCCATCACGGCCAGGCTCCGAGGGCTATCGACTTCACTGCAATTCCAGGCACCCTCGGCTAAAACTCACATTCTTTCTATGTCACTGTTGACCAAGGATGCGCGCTGCTAACATTTTTTTTTTTTTTTCAGAGGAATGATTTGCATTTGGGATTGTGGACAGGCCAAATTCCTGCTCAATTATCCTTCCAGTTAATTCATTCAAAGACTATTTAGGTGCTCTTCCAGGCACTTTAGATAGAACAGAAAATACGCAAGCCAAGGAAACAAAGCGCTGCCCCAGGGGAACTTACATTCTGGTTTAAAAAAAAAAAAAAAAAGAAATTTTCTTTTTACAAACTCGTGTTATGTATGAAGTGGAATGTGAGCATTAGCAAGCAATTCTCACCTTGCCAACGTCCAGTCTCTTCTAAATACCAACAACCACACAGATATCTGAAACATCAGCAGCAGTTTCTAATGACAAAGTTTATCCGAAATCAGAAATTATGACCAATTCGACAGATGACAGCAGCACTGAGATGACAAACATTTTCTGCTAAAAACAAAAAACAAAACAAAACCTAACCCTGACCTGTCTTGTCAGAACTCCATAAAGCTCAAGCCATTCAATAGCCTGAACTGTACAACAGGAAAATACTGCATTTTCCTCCCACCCCCCAAACCTCCCAAAGCCCAAGTACATTTTAGTACAAAGATCACAGTCACTGGCTCAAAAGGTAACTTTTGGGAAACAAAGTCTAAATTCCTTTAGACAATCCAATAATTTGGTGGAAATTTTACTAAGTAGCAATGATTCTCTCGCCATTCTTGGCTCAATCTCTTCTTTTTCCCCCTCGCTACCGTTCAGGCTAGGGAAGTGAGGCGATCCGGCACCCACCCTTAAGGAAAGGCATTCCCTTTCCAGTTTCACTTTCCTCTGCAGGCGCAGCCCTAACTCCAGCAGGCCGCCTGGGCTGAATGAGAGCAAGACACGGGTCCGTGGGCTGTTCCTCCAGTGGGCACCAACTGAAACCCTCTCTCCAGGGACTCTCCTACTGCAGCCTGAGAGCCCTCAAAGTTTCCCCTCAAAGTAAGAAACATGGCGGATAATAACCGGGCAATGCATTGTTTCAGATTAGCCTTTTCAGTCTCCATTTAATCAACACAAGTCATCTGAGAGGCTTATCTGTCTCTGGTTGAAACTTGGTGGGGGGGGGGCGCAGAAATTGGTTATCTACAATGCCTCGGTGGAACGATAACCCCCATGCAAACTAAGCTCAAAGGAATGTTTCATTAATTACTGGCAAGGTCCGAAGACAAACGGTGCCGTCTAAAACTTTCCTGAAATTGAGCACACATTCGCAAATCCATCAGGGTATTATTATTATTATTACTGTCTTACAAGTTCCAAGGAGTACAAATTCCAAGAACTAACAATTTAGGGAACCTGACTGCTCCATTCACAAGAATCTCCCCGATCAAGTATTTACAGCACCAAAGAACCACAGGCTCTGAGGCACCCTCTGCCACGGGTATTATTATTATTATTTTCCCCTAACCGCGAACTGAGCAAAGACGTTTCCATCCTGAGCATGCAGACTCCGGGAAGGCCACGCACCCCCCCCCCCAACTCCCCAGGCCGCGGGAAATGCAGACAAGCAAACTAGCGAGCGAAATACCACCACTCCGCCTCCCCCTAAAAAAAAAAACCACACCAACAAAGCGTGGTGCCGAGTGGAAGGCAGGCAGGCCGGCCGGCCGCCCAGCAGAAGCACATGATTCATGCTCGGGCCTGAGCGCAAGTGTTCACCACTGTCCGGGATCTCCCATCCTCAACGCGGGCCGGCCCTCGGGGGCATCACCCCCGGCTCAAGTCGGGCTACTTCCGTTTGGAAAAGGGGAGGCTGGAAGGGGTGGGGGGTGTCATTTTATTTCGCTGAATCACAACTCCTTCACATCTCCACCCCAAACCACCACACGGGGGGAAAAGGAAGAGGGAGGGAGAAAAAAAAAAAAAAAGGCATTGCAAGGACGCCAGCGAACCCCAACCTAGCAAAAAGAAAAGAAAAGAAAAAAAGCACAAAGCGCTCGGCCAAGGGGCTGCCAGGCCGGGAGTGGGTGGGTCAACAGGGCCACGCTCGGTCCGCCCGGGCACCGCTCGCACCTCCCCGCCCGGGCCTGTCTGCGGCCAAGCGTGCGGTGGCGGCTTCCTCCCTCCCGAGGGGCCCCGGCCCTCTCCGCAGAGCCGCGGGCACGGCGGGAAGGTGAGGACATCCATGGGGGCGGGGGCGCGCTGCCCCGGCCCGGCACAAGGACCCAGGAGCCAGAGGGAGCGTGCGCCGGGGCCCAGCCCACAGGGGAGTCACCGCCGAGCCTGCCCCGGGCACCTCGGCCGAGAACGGCCACCGCCGCCCGCACGCCGGGCCCGGACTTACCGGGGCCGGGCGCGCCGCGGCCCCGCGGCCGCAGCTTCTTCCTCCTCTTCCTCCTCCTCCTCCTCCTCACTTGACAAAATGGCGGCGGCAGGAAGTGCCGGGCGCCTCGACCCGCCCCCTGCCCGCCCCCGGCCGCCCGCCCCGCCGCGGCGCCCGCGCCCCCCAGCGCCCCGACCCCGCCGGTCAGCCCGAGGAAAGGGCGGCGGCGGCGCCGCGCACCGGACGCCCGCGAGCGGCCCGACGCCAACGGCGCAGGCAGGCCCCGGCGCGGGGCAAGCGGCGCGGGAGGCCCGCAGGCCCGAGCCCGCGTAGCCCCGGCTCCCCGCCCCCGCGCCGCGCCGATGGCGTAGGTGGAGGCGCACCGGCCCCATTACGCAATGCAGGTTACGCGGGCCGTGCCGCGGACCCGCCGCCCGCCCCGCGCCGCCCGCCGCCCCGAAGGGCACTCGCTGGTCCTCACCTGAGACGCTAGGCCGCACGCCGCCCCCGCCGCCAGCCGCCCGCTGCCGCCGCCCCCTCCCCGGCTGCCTGCCGCGGCGCCGGGGCCCGCCCGCCGCGCCCGCCGCTCAGCCGCGCTCCCAGGCCCCGCTCGCCCGCGGGCACCGCCGGCAGCCGACGCCGTGGCGCCGCCGCCGCCGCCACTGCTTCGGCTCCTCGGCTGCGGAGAGCAGAACAAACAGCCCTGCCGCCGCCGCCGCCGCCGCCGCCGCCGCCGCCGCCGCCGCCAGCGCACTGACGTCACCGCGCACGCTACGCGCGCGGCCCCGCGCCGCCGCCGCCGCCGCCGCCGCCGCCGCCGCCGCCGCCGCCGCCGCCGCCGCCGCCGCCGCCGCCGCCGCCGCCGCCGCCGCCGCCGCCGCCGCCGCCGCCGCCGCCGCTTGCTGTGCCGCGGCCGCCACCGCCGCCGCCGCCTCCTCCTCCTCCTCCACCGCCCGCCGTGCGCGCCCCGCCCCTGCGCCCGGGCGCGGGCGAGCTCGGGAGAACCCGTGGAGCTGAGGTGAGTCGGGCGGCAGACTCGCGGGGCTGGGAGGTGGGTGGGTGGGTAGCCGCGCGGAGGGCAGACCCCGAGGGAGGACCCCGCAGGCCGGCCGAGCGAGGGGGCCCGGCGGAAGCGACCTGGACGGAGGTGTGCAGCACGGCTGGGAGAGGCGCGGACCCGAGACCTGCCCCCCACATCTGCAGGGCAGCTGAGAGCCGCCCTGGGGGTGCTGGGTGGCGAGGCACTAAGCGGAGGGAAGGGTGCGAGCGAGGGGTGGCGTCGGCCAGGCTGGACCCCCGCGCCCCGACTCTCCCCCGGACTGAATGTGGGTGGCTCTGGACACCCCCGCCCCGGTGTGGTCCGCGCTGGGTGATCCCTAAGAGGATCGGGGCTCTCGCGGCTTGCTAGGAGGCTGCGGAAATTTTCCAACCCGAAAACATCGCCGCCTCCCCTGCCCTGCCGCCTGCGGCGTCTGTCTCCGGCGGCAGGGGCCGGCTGCAGCCTGCGAAGCCGGCATCCCATAGGGGCACCTGGTTCTCGTCCCCCGCTGCTCCACTTCGGCTCCAGCTCCCTGCTCATGCGCCTGGGAGAACCAGCGGAAGGTGGCCCAAGTGCTTGGGGCCCCTGCTACCCACGAGGGAGACCTGAGGAAGTTCCTGGCTCCTAGCTCCCTTGCGGCCATCTGGGGAGTGAACCAGCAGGCGGAAGATCTCTCTTAACTCTTTAAAAATAAATAAATAAATGTTAAAGAGAGAGAGAGAGAGAGAGAGAAACTCAGATCTCAAGATTCTAAATAACAGGATATTTTCCTGATACCCTGTCACTTCAAAATGTAATGATAGACTATATTATTTAAAGTTATTTCTTCTTGGGGTAGGTGTTGGGGTCCAGTGGTTAAGGCTGCGCTGCGTGGATCCCATAATTGGCGTGCGGGTTTGGTCTGAGTTCTGCCTCGGCTTCTGATCCAACCTCCTGTGAGTGTACACCCTGGGAGGCAGCGGTGATGGCTCAGGCACTTGGGTCCTACCACCCACGTGGGAGACACTGATGGAGTTATTTAAACTGGCTTATTTAACACACCGCATCACAGCGCCAGCCCCTGTCGACTTTTCTAAGGAAACCAGAATATGTCCGCTTTAGAGTTTCAGACAATAAGTGTTTGGGAAGTGATTGGGAGCAGCCCTTTTGTAAGTTACATAAAATCTGACATTTTCCTATTGAGTTGAAATTCATTTTGGAAAAAAACCACTTCCCTAGCTTCTTATACTGGATCCAACTCATTAGCTATTACTAGGAATGAAATCCAACCTGAAAAGACTGTAAGCTTGGGGCTGACGATATGGTGCAGCAAGTTAAGCTACCACCTGCGACAGAAGCACCCGTATTGGAGCACCAGTTCCAGTCCCAGCCGCTCTACTTCCAACTCCAGCTGACTGCTAATGCACCTGGGAAGGCAGTGGGTGATGAACCAAGTGCTTGGAGTCCTGCTACCCAGATAGGAGACCTAGATGGAGTTCTGGGCTTCTGGCTTCAGCCTGGACAAGTCCCAGCCACTGAGGCAATTTGGGGACTGGATCACCCGAAGATTGTCTCTGTGTGTGTGTGTGTGTGTGTGTTTCTCTTTCACTATACCTTTCAAATAAATCTTAAAACATTATGAACTGCAAAGGCAGTTCCAAAAGCTATTTCTAAAATCATTTTTTATTGTTTTATTTTTTAAAAAGATTTATTTATTTGAAAGGCAGAGGCAGAAAGAGAGAGAGAGAGGTCTTCCATCCACTGGTTCACTCCCCAAATGGTCACAATGGCTGGAGCTGTGCCAATCCTAAGCCAGGAGCCAGGAGCTTCTTCCGTGTCTCCCACGCAGGTGCAAGGGCCCAAGGTCTTGGGCCATCTTCTACTGCTTTTCCAGAGCAGAGAGCTGGATCAAAAGTGGAGCAGCTGGGAATCGAACCAGTGCCCATATGGGATGCTGGCACTGCAGGTGGCAGCTTTACCCACTATGCCACAGCACCTGCCCTTTTTTTTTTTTTTTTAAGATTTTATTTATTTATTTGAGAAGCAGAGTTACAGAGAGAGAGGGAGAGACAGAGAGAGAGAGAGGTCTTCCATCCACTGGTTCACTCCCCAAAAGGCTGCAATGGCCAGAGCTGGGCCAATGCAAGGCCAGGAGCCAGGAGCTACTTTGGGGTGTCCATGTGGGTGTAGAAAGCTGGATCGGAAGAGGAGCAGCTGGGACGAGGACCAGTGCCCATATGGGATGACGGCACCACAGGCAGAGGCTGAGACCACTACACCACAGAGCTGGCTCCCGTCTAAAGATGATTTAGGGCAGTGACCTCTCGTTTCTGTCTGCTGCAGTACCTATCCTAACTTCTCACAGGTAGCTCAAACTCACAAAAAATGTTTAGCAATCTGGTTGAATAATGTAATAAATGTAATAAAATGTAATAAATAAATAAAATGTAATAAAAAGACCCTTGTTGGGGCTGGCACCATGACTCACTTGGTTAATCCTCCACTTGCGGCACCGGCATCCCATATGGGCACCGGTTCTAGTCCTGGTTGCACCTCTTCCAGTCCAGCTCTCTGCTGTGGCCAGGGAAGGCAGTGGAGGATGGCCCAGGTGCTTGGGCCCTGCACCCCATGGGAGACCAGGAAGAAGCTCCTGGCTTCGGATCGGCGCAGTGCCAGCCGTAGCGGCCATTTGGGGAGTGAACGCACGGAAGGAAGACCTTTCTCCCTATCTCTCTCTCTCTCTCTCTGTCTATAACTCGGTCAAATAAATTTAAAAAAAAAAGACCCTTGTTACTTAATGCTTCACATTCTATATTTTTCCTTAATAGTTTTTATTTTTGCAGACAGAGCTCTTCCATCTGCTGGTTTGCTCCCCAAGTGCCCTACCACAGCCAGGGCTAGACCAGGCTGAAGGCAAAAGCCCAGGACTCAGTCTGGGTCCCTTACATGGGTGACAGGGACACGAGCACTTGAACCATCCTCTGTTGGCTCCCAGCGCACACACTAGCAGGAAGCTGAATTGGAAGTGGAGGTAGGGCTTGATACTGGATTTACCTGTCCTAAACAGCATTTTAACCACCATACCTAAAGCCTACATCAATGGTTCATATTTTAAATAAGCTCTTTCTCTTATGTACTGCATTCACAATACTAAAATCCAGGAGAGAATTAGAGAATGGCCCTTAGGAATATAAATAATGCTAACAAATAGTTTTAAATATCTTTTATTTTTTTAAAAAAATTTACTTATTTGTTTAAAAGGCAGAGTTCTAGAGAGAAGGAGAACGAGAAAGAGAGGTCTTCAATCTGCTGGTTCACTCTGCAAATGGCTGCAATGGCTGGAGCTGGGCCAATTGAAAGCCAGGATCCAGGAGCTTCTTCTGGTTCTCCCACGCAGGTGCAGGGGCCCAAGGACTTGGGCCATCTTCTACTGCTTTCCCAGGACATAGCAGAGAGCTGGATTGGAAGTGGAGCAGCCAGGACTCAAACTGGTGCCCATATGGGATGGAGGCAGCAGCTTTATCTGCTGTGCCATGGCACTGACCCCAATATCTTTTTTATTTACTTACGTATTTTGAAAGATAGGTCTCATCCACTGATTCACTTCCCCAAATGCAGGCAATTGCTATAGATGGACAAAGGAGGGAACTGGGAAGTCAATTCAGATCTCCTATGGGGATAGCAGAGACCTGGCAACCTGAGCCATCACCTGCTGCCTCCTAGGTGTCAGAACTCAAACCAGGTACTCTGACACGGGACACCAGCTTTTTAACCGGTATCTCACACACTCAGCCAAACGCACACCCCTGTCACTCCTTTTTATCTTAAAAAAGGCTTGTTTCAAAGGCAAAGTGACAGGGAGAGGACGAGATCTGCCATCAATGGTTCACTCCCCCAAATAGCTACAACATCCAGCATTGGGTCAGACCATAGCAGGTGCCAGCAACTCCTTCCAGGTCTCCCATGTCGGTAGCAGAGTACTTGAACCACCTTCCTCTGCCTTCCCAGGTGCTTTAGCAGAGAGTGGCCTCAGAACCAGAGTAGGTGGCACGCAGAAATAAGGAAGATGTGACAGGGCCCGCGCTGTGGTGTAGCAGGTAAAGCTACCACCTGCAGTGCTGGCATCCCATATGGGCACCGGTTTGAGACCTGGCTGCTCCACTTCCAATCTAGTGCTTTGCTATGGCCTGGGAAAGCAGTAGAAGATGCCCAAGAGCTTGGGCCCCTGCACCTGCTTGTTCACTCCCCAAATGGCTGCAATGGCCAGAGCTGAACCGATCTGAAGCCAGGAGCCAGGAGCTTCTTCTAGGTCTTCCATGTCAGTACAGGGACCCAAGCACTTGGGCCATCTTCCACTGCTTTCCCAACCCATAGCAGAGAGCTGGATCAGAAGAGGAGCAGCCGTGACATGAACTGGCACCCATATGGAATGCCAGCACTGCAGCTGGAAGCTTAATCTACTACACCACAGCCCTAGCCCTGAATTTTTTTGTGGTATGCATCAGTATATATTTGTGTATGGAAACAGTTGTGTTACAAAACAGGATCAATGTGCACACTTGTAACAGCACTCTTGTACCCATAAAAGAATTTATTTGTAGCATGCCCCTTTTCTGGAGCCATTCTTCAGGAATACTTGCAAATCTCCCTCATTGAAGATAACTTAGAAATAACATACAGCAGGTTATCTAGTGGCAGGGGGAAGGGGAGCAAGCATTTTGCTTAGCACTTAGGATATAGATTAAGATGCCCATGTCAGGACTGGCATGGTGGCACAGTGGGTTAATCTACCACCTACAATGCTGGCATCCTGGATGAGCTACAGTTCAAATCCTAGCTGCTCCAGTTAACCCAGCTCCCTACTATATATGCTTGGGAAACCAGCAGAAGATGGCCCAAGGGCTTGGGCCTCTGCCACCCTTGTGGGAAACCTGGATGGAATTCCTGGCTTCTGGCTTCAGCCCGACCCAGCTGCACCTACCCAGCTGCATGTCCCACTT